GTCCAGGTGACTTTTGAGTGTATACCATATATCGTTTTAAAAGTTAACTAACAAAATTGTATAATATATTTATAAGGATAGAAATGATGTTTTTAAAAGTTTTGAAATAAAACGTTTTCGACTGTGAAAGTCATCTTCAGTATGAGGTTAATTTGAATATACAACAGTTTAAGTAGTTCATGAAATCCCAGAGGGATAAAGGCTGGCGATAAAACATTGGACTTGTTTATTTAGTCTGTGCTGTTCACGTGCAATTAAGAGTCTTTCAATTATTCTTCTTTTGAATAAGGATGCTTCTGTGTGAAGCATATTCCATGTGTACGAAAGGTTTGGAGGACTTGATAGATGACGTTCTGGTTATGAAATATGTAAGGGATTCTAAAATCGTACAAATTGTACAAATTAGTGCAAAGTTTTGAAGGTCTACGGTCTACTGAGAGATATATGGTATGCGCTCTACCATCTAGGACTCTAACAATAATTACGGCCATTAAGGGTGAGGTGATCTCTAAAAAAAGACCATTTAATTACTTAAAAAGAAATGTTTATATTTCTTTCTAAAAGTTTGAATACTATATATCATACAGAATTAAGGCCAAATTACCTTGAGCGATTATGTAGAAAATAGCAAGAAACCCAATGATAAAAGTTGGTAATCCAGCCCTGAAAAACCTCCAGTACGACCGCCAAGACACCGTACCAGTAGCTCTCTCTTCATCTTCCTCCCTCATATCTTTAGAATTATCTTCATAATGAACGACTTCTTCATGCAATGTGTAGTCGCTTGTAGTATCTTCATGTCTTTTCTGTAAGGTATCTACTATTCCGTTTTCGCTCAATTCCGAATATGTCCCGAGAACAACAGCACCCTCTCTTACCACTGCTATCTTGTCAGCTCGAGGACGGTATTGTACTTGATGGGTCACCAGAACTCTTACTCGATTCGACAGCTCTCCACAGATACACTTATCAAAGATGTGTTGTCCAACCCTAGCATCAACTGCACTGAGTGGGTCATCCAGTAAGAAGATATCTGCGTCTGAGTAGACTGCGCGTGCTAGACTGACTCTTGCACGCTGTCCACCACTGAGACTTACACCTCTCTGACCAATGATGGTCAAGTCTTCATGAGGGAAGCACTTGATGTCTTTCTGAAGGTCACATATTTCTAGTATTCTCTTGTATCGAGACTCGTCAAATGGTCGTCCAAAGACAATATTATCACGAATGGAAGCTGAGAAGATCCAAGGTATTTGGCTAACATAAGCTGTTCGACCATGGACCGTAATTTCCCCTTCAGTTGTAGGAATTTCCCCAAGGATGGCCATCAGTAAAGAGCTCTTTCCACTGCCAACAGGTCCTGTGACTATAAGTAACTGGTTTGATCGTACTACCATCGAGACTTGGTGTAAAACACTCTTTTGTTGACTTGTCCAGGCTGCTGACATCTCGATTACATCTACTCTGGGCTCAGTGTCCAGTTCGATACATGTTGCTCTCCTGCTATCAATATTTTTGGTAAAAGTCAAATTTCCAATCCTACGCGGTTGAGCATCGTTTGATGATATTATGGCACTTGTACTTATATCCACTGATGTTGGACAATTACATAGGAATTCCTCGATCCTATTTATGGAAACTATAGAATCTCTCAGGTTGAGAACATTAAAAGTAATCTTCGAAACCATGCAGTTCGCACAAATGTCTAATATCATTGCCAGTGTAAAAGCCCTAGCAGCATCTACTCTTATTCCACTGTACACTAACGTTACCACACACAAGAAGGATGCCATTGGTTTTACGTTATACTTTAGCGTTTCGCATGTTACTCGTAGGCTATTCTTTTGTTTGTTACGATTCACTTCTTTCCTGAAACAAAAAGATTGAATGTGGATATTATGAAAGAAGATATCACAAAGCAAATGGTCATTGGAATAGATTTCCATTTGAATAAACGTGTGTTGTACCATTTCAGACAACCTGTCATTTCCAACATTCTTTTATGTGTTTTCTATTTCTTTTATAGAAAAAAGATAATATGAATGGAAAATCCGTATACCACGTGCTGATTAATGAATGTCAAAACAGTCACCATTAAAACAGGGGCGGCGGAAGCTAAAAATCTTTGGGGGGCACTGCAAAAATCTTTGGGGGACACTGAAGATTATATTTAACGCTATGTGATAATGACAATGTTTTGTTTGATTGCAGACGCATGCGCCTTAAAACAATGACTAAGAACCAATATTTTTGGGGGGCCAAACTGTGAATCTTTATTACTCGTCGCAGAACAAAAACCCTAAAAAATCCCTTCGACTTTCGTTTTCTTAATATCGACCTTTTATTTTAGTTAGCACATGGGTATTTAAATGTTTTTGAAAATTCCTAGCTTTCGATAAGGAGTTGAAGTATCCTATTAATTTTTTTTTTCGCAGCCACTAATTTATTCAAATGTTAAGAAATTATAGAGCTTTCTAAAGCTAAAACATTAGTTAATTCAATGTATAAAGAAATAGTTCTGTACATGCTTTTGCAAAAGCATGCGAGACCCCCGAAGTTGGAGTACGCGATTTTGGCTCTTTAAGAGGGTCAATGAATAAAAATGAATTATGCACGATCTGGTTTTTCTCGTTATTCTCGGAAATAAAGCGATGATTTCGGCAAATGAAGCTTGCCATGGTTTATATTCCCTCAAAGTCTTCCTAATACCAAATCGTGAGCTACCAAATTCGATTTTTCAACTGTTGTCTTAATAGCTTATTCGAAAAAACTCCTATCAATTTTTTAGATAAAGTTAATTTTTCTAACACATGAAAAAATAGATTATTGAAGGGATATTTGTTCAACTTTATGAGAGTTTTTAAGGTCACTGATGGGACAAAATATGACAGAGGAAAGCATTCCTTTGTTTTTTCGTTCAAAATATCCATGTATTATTGTAGAATGATTCACCAGCCGTCATTCGTGCAATTATAGAGTCTGCAAAAGAACTATTAT